CACACACACACACACACACTGTGGCAGTGCACTGACCCAGACCCACCATTCTAATTATAATGGTGATTCTTCCACCACCAGCTAAAGCACATTCACAGTAACCTGCCCTGTATTCCACTTCCAGCTTTTGACTCATGATGGGATGGCACTTGCTAAGAATGACCCACTACTAGCACATAGAAACAGGCCCTAAGGACATGTAGTAAAATGTGTTTTCTTTACTTCAGGGTTTCAGATAAGCCTGTCTGGAGTTTCCCAAAGTAAGCAATAGACTCGCACACAAAGCACACCGACCTCTTACGATATGTGGGTACACCTCAGTAGTCTAAAGTGGTTTCTATTCCCTCACTGCCCTTCAGCCAAGTCCTGTTTCTGTCCAGTCTGATGAGCAGGCACGCTGCTGGTTAAACACCCATCGGCTTTGTTATTCACCTCCACGATCTTCATCACGCTCTCATGTAATCGTACGGAGCAGGCGAAATGAAACCACAGTAGACTATTGAAGCAGCCTGTGTGGTGCTCTGGTAGTTGGGGAGTCTGTCCACTGTTCCACTGCTATGAACTGTCACGAATTCAGTTAAACAGCCCACAAACATTCATCGGGCACCGGGGCTTAAAGGTTAAAGGGATCTGTTTGCACTCGAGAGCTGTTTGAACAGGGCACGGCAAAGAAAACTCAACACTTGAACGCAGCACTTTGCAAAGAAGCTAATACAAGTTAGCAGTTTTAAAGGTGACACACAGAACGCTCTAACATCTACTTATCTGAGCTTAATTTAATTTGAATCAGTATTAAAGTGCTGTCTTAAGTGTTGGGTCACTTTGATTTCTCGAGGGAATTGTTCAGGTCTTAATTTGCATTGGAAATGATTTTGACCGGGGTTCCCAATATCAAGAACCTGCACTGTGGCTCTTTTCGGCAATACAAATAATTAGAATGCATATATTATTTGTACGACATTCAGCTAAAAGACCTGATGCAGTGTTGGTAATGGAAACCCTTGTTACATGTGGGCACTTGGCTTGTGATCGAAATGCATTTTGTGCTTCTTCTGACATTGAGAAGAGCTTGAGATAACCCAGAGGTCAGTCTCTGTATGAGAACGGCACTAAACACTGAACCTTTAAACCACATTGATGCCACAAAGGTTACACTATCCCCTCTTGACCTATTGTGAAGATGTAACTGTACAAAGCACAATAATGTGCTGGTACATTTTGTGGATTAAATTCCTTAATGCTGCATTTTGCACATTTTCAGCAAAGGCTTATCTCAAGTGTGTATAGTCAGATTTGACTGAGATGAGACAAGCATTTTATCACACTCTACTGTGTGTGTGTGTGTCCCCTGCGTGCATCAGCTGGTTGAAGCCACAGTGCAGCGTGCATGTGGTGGGGATCTGCATCTGTCTCTCTCTCTCTGTCCCGCCAGGTAAACGTAAAGCGCTCAAGCTGAACTTCGCCAACCCGCCAGTGAAACCAACCTCCAGGCTCCCGCTCCATCCAACGCCCCCGTCTTTCCAAAACCCTCACATGTGAGTACAGACAGGACGGGATGTCCAGACAACTCAGTTTGTTGTTGTTTTTTCATCTAGACCCGTGTCCTGTATTTCAGCTGGTCCCAGGAACAAGACAGTGTTTTCGTCTTTGTTTATTTATTTGTTTGTTCATTTTTCCTTCTCTCTCTCCCTCCAGAGAGCGTCTGCGGACACACAGTATCGAATCGTCGGGGAAGCTGAAGATCTCCCCTGAGCAGCATTGCGACTTCACAGCGGAGGATCTGAGAGACCTCGGGGAGATTGGCCGCGGAGCGTACGGCTCCGTCAACAACATGGTCCACAAACCCACAGGCCAGATCATGGCTGTCAAGGTGATAGGCTGATTGGTTCTAATAGACCCACCTGAATCTACCTCGTGCATAACAATTTATCACGTCAGAATACAGAATCTGAAAAAAACTAAAATACAACTGGGCAGAATTTCATTCATCCAAAATAAAGAATTTCTGTAATGTTTGTGTTCAAGGGAAACAAGTGGAAGGAAGTGCAGCACACACACACATGACCATACTTCTATGTATGTGAGGACACTGACGGGCCTATAATTTCCCACACCCTTACCCTAACTAAAGTACACACATCTACCAATGAATCAGTAATGGATACAATCATTAGCGATAGCTCTTAATTATCCATAGCAAAGAAAATCAGATTGTGTGAGCCCATCAATGGGAAGCTGAATGGTTGTGTTGTGGATGCTGTGGAAAGGTGTCGACTGAAAACACGCGTTTGTGTCGTTCGTCCCTCAGAGGATTCGCTCCACTGTGGATGAGAAGGAGCAGAAGCAGCTGCTGATGGATCTCGACGTGGTGATGAGGAGTAGTGACTGTCCCTACATCGTTCAGTTCTACGGAGCTCTTTTCAGAGAGGTCTGCCACACACTTCCTGTCTGGCCTCCTAAACTGTCTGTGTTTACATTGCATAATAACTCAATGATTCTCAGTGAGTCGTCAATAAGTGTCTGCGGCCACTCCCTGTGCCTTTTTGCAAAAAGAGTTTTTATGGAAACTAACTTTTTGCTCTGTGTTTCAGGGGGACTGTTGGATTTGTATGGAACTTATGGCTACCTCATTAGACAAATTCTACAAATATGTTTATTGTGCATTAGATGACGTCATTCCAGAGGAAATATTAGGCAAAATAACATTAGCGGTAAGTGGATGATTCACTTTTTCCTCTCTGATTTAAACTTCACGCCATTTTATGATCATTAAAAGAAATGACCAGACGTGTTTTGATTTTGTCTTCCACAGACCGTTAAAGCACTGAACCACTTAAAAGAAAACTTGAAAATAATTCACAGAGGTAAGTTTTAAAGTCTGTATCTATATATATATATATGAATATGTATATTATTGTGTCTGTCAACCATAGAATATTAGTCTGCGTGTGAACAGTATTTTAGTGTTACAGGAAGATGTCAAATTAAAATGCTTTTTTTATGAAAACATATATAAATGTTTTAAAACAGACTCATATTCCCTCATTTCACAAGATACAACTTTGTATTTTGTGTCATGCAGACATCAAACCTTCCAACATTCTTATGGACCGAAAGGGTAACATCAAGCTGTGTGATTTTGGCATCAGTGGTCAGCTGGTCGACTCCATAGCCAAGACCAGAGATGCAGGCTGCAGGCCGTACATGGCGGTGAGTCATCAGCGCTAATGACTGGTTGAGCTCAGGTTCATTTGAATCCTCACATTCAGTTTCTTTTGTTCATCTGCATCTGTTGTGTTTCTCTTCTCATGTAATCAGTTTTTCACCTCATATTTTACCCATCTGTGCAACATAGAAATGTTTTTTTGCACTTGACATCAAATGCTGCAGAAGAAGAATCCAGTTTGAGGATCCCTCAGCAGCTTCTCTCAGTAGCACGTGTATTTTTACATCACTGACACACTGGTCCATTGTGGGAAGTCTGGACGCACCAGGAGTAGGATTTATCTGTGTTGGACAGGATCTCTTGATAACATCTTTGAAATTTCTTGTTTCAGCTGTTGTGGATTTAAATTTAAATTTGAAGATGATGCACCTGTGTTCAAACTGATGTGTTAAGTTAAAACACATGCGTTTTTTTTATGTTATCTACACATTTATAGTTAATAACTGACAGTTATGGACTAGGACTAGCTTCAAGTTAATATACCAATAATGTGGATCTTTGCAAGTTGCAAATGAGCAACTGTCCAGTAGGGGTCAGTGCAGTATCTCAGTACCTGAGTCTTTCTCTTGTTTGTGTTTTCAGCCTGAGAGGATAGACCCCAGTGCTTCCAGACAAGGCTACGATGTCCGCTCTGATGTGTGGAGCTTGGGAATCACCCTGGTGAGACACCTTGTTTTATCATGAAGCGTAACTTATGTTTGTTAAGTCTGTCAGTCTGCTCAAAGCGCCTGGTTTGTGTTTGTCCTCAGTATGAGTTGGCCACAGGAAGGTTTCCTTATCCCAAGTGGAATAGTGTTTTTGATCAGCTGACACAAGTGGTGAAAGGAGAACCTCCTCAACTCAGCAACTCAGAGGAGAGACAGTTCTCGCCCAAGTTCACCAACTTCGTTAACCTATGGTAAGAACATTACACTCAGTCACATACAAACAAGTATAATGTGTGTGTGTGTGTGTGTGTGTGTGTGTGTTGGCAAAAAATGTATACAGTGTATATATATACACAATTAAACATTCTTCATGAGTAAATAACAGTGTTTTAGAAACGACAACATGAAAATAAAAATGTAATAAGATCCACTTAGCGCTCAGCTATCAAGCCACACCTCCCAGTTTTCATTACCTCCGCCAAGGAGGTTATGTTTTCAACTGCGAGATTACACAAAATCTACTGAACCAGTTTCCATACAATATTGTAGAGGGGTTGGACATGACCCAAAGAAGAATCTGTTAAATGTTGGTGCAGATCCAAATAAATGGGCAGATCCAGGATTTTATTTTTCACTTGCTTTGCAGCGTTTCCCTCAGAATCAATTCAATCTCTGGCTGTAACGTGTGCATGCCACCTGCGGGTATGCACACATCTGCAGCTGACATTTTGAGGTCTGCCTGGACTGTAACAACTTAATGAGCGTAACCTGTAACACACGATACGATACAATGACTGTTTTTTGCACATGGACTGGACTCATTTTTACAGTTTCACCATGGATTTACTGTACGGACATTTTTCGAGGATTTAAGTCATGGAAGCAGTGTGGTCTGCTGCTGAATGTTTTTACCCCTGTGTTGACCATGTCTAATGTTTTTACTCTTTCTTTCCAGCCTTACAAAGGATGAATCAAAAAGGCCAAAGTACAAGGAGCTTCTGGTGAGTTCTAGCAGTTTGGTTTAGTTTCAACCCACATTTCCCAAAATAAGTCCAAACGCACACAACTCTTCTTGTTATGGGCATTTTATTTTAATACTTACTAGTCAAATGTTTAATCTATTTACATGTATATACTAATACTTATGGAGAATTTGCTGGATGAATAGTCGGTAGTTGTCTAAGAATGAAATTTCTTAATTCCTACACACAATGAAACCCCTGATAAATGTGTCTTACGAACATTTAAAGCTACGCTAACTAAAAATCTTCATGTAAACAATCAACTGTTTAATGTGAAATTCGTAGCTCATAGTGATGCAGCCTCATAGAATGATCATTCAGCAGTCTCAGAGTAACATAGATGTGTGAATGGTTCACTAACACATCTACCATGATGACTTTCAGAAGGGGGAACTATCAGGGTTTTGTTTTCAGCCTCCTCTGCTGCCCTCAAGTGGCAAAAAGTGTGGTCACAGGAACCAGTCTTAACGCTGTGTGTATCCTTCCCCTCAGAAACACTCCTTCATTCTGATGTATGAAGAGCGTTTCGTGGACGTCGCCAGTTACGTGTGTCGCATCCTGGATCAGATCCCCACCTCTCCCATCTCTCCTATGTACGTGGACTGACTGTGTTAGGATGGGGCGGGGCGGGGCACTAAGCTTTGTGATGCTCGACATCTTTGCCCTCAGAGTTACGCAGGAGCTCTGCCTGTTTTATCCACACGTTCCAAAGAGCAACAGGAACTAAGTCCAAATTGCCCGGTGCAATAAGATGAATATTGTTAAGCGAACACTTCCACCTCCCATCACCTCCTTTAGTGTCAGTGAAAGCTGAAGCGTCATCACACATCTTCAGCCAGAAAAAATTTACATAACATTGTCTTAGTGAAATGCAGCACATCTTTACGTGATGAAAAAGGAGTAGAGTATACATAAATGGTGTGTGTGTGTGTGTATGTATGAATATATATATATATTTATATGTTTATGTACACACACACACTTGAACTTTTACACAAATACAGAATTTACCAAATAAAAATGTTTAACAGTGACACTCACGACGTATGAACAAAATTAGCCGCCTGTTGGATTGTACATTGGGGACTGTATGTATGCATATGTGTGTTCACCTCTGAGTTGTTGACATGTACAGATGTATGCTAAATAGACCTCCTGTCAAAACACACACTTCTCACGCAGTTTGTTGTCGGCACCTGCGCTCGTGGTAAACGAATGAGTGCGCGTAAGTGTTTGTCTCTGAAAGCTCATGGATATACGGTGGCGTGGCTTTACTTTTTTTTTTTTCTTTGTTCAATATGCAATCTGTGAGAGTTTGTCTGCATCGGGACAACATACGTCTCTCACATCCACTGCTTACTCCAGCGGGTCCCTCTCATATGTTGTCATTACAGTGGCATCAGAGAGCTAAGCATCTGCTTTTATGAAAAATCATCTTGTGGCGGGCTGTCACGAACCCTGTTAGGTCATTGAACAACACGCAACTTTAACCCGTTAAGTTGTGACTCCCAAAAAACTATGGTGCACCACAGTCTTGAGTGGCAGCCAAATAACGTTCAACACCAATGGCTGCAACCTGAAAACCCTCAGCAGCAGAGGATATGAAATTTGAATTCCATGTATTAAAAGGTAGAGATGGTCATTTGTTTCTGAAACACTTTTTATCTCATTTGCTGAAATCCTCTTCATGTCCCGATTACGTCCCCATTCGGACCGAATGAAATGATTCACTGGCGTATCTGTCTGTCACTAACCAGAAGCTTCAGCCGGAGAGACACACACAGCTGAAACAGAGACGATAGCCAGGAGTTAGCGAGCGTCACGGAGCAGTCGTCTTCCGGCAGTTGTCAGGCACTGCACGTTCACGTGTGTTGGATGTGTAGATTTGATGAGAGGGCTGATGGGACGGAGTGGGATGTATCGGTTGCATTATTTTCAATCTGTCGCCTGCTCTTGCTGGCTTTTGATTACCAGCCCTAGGTTGATTGAAGGTAAATTGAACTAACAGATGTAGCCTGCTTAATATTTAAACATCTATTTTCTACTGCTAATGTGGCTGCATGAAGGTTGAACTGATAGACGCTCTTTGTAAGCAATGTGCTGAGACTGGATAGATCATCTCTATAGAAAAAGTCACCACCCTGTTGGTGTTGTTGAACTGTAAAAGTCCTTGTTGGCTGATAATAATCTGCGAGTATTTGTCGTCTTAACTGTCACAAGTAACAGTAAAAGTCAGTGGTAGCTAAATATGAGAGGCTGCCTTCCTTAATGCTTTTCCAAAAAGAAATTACTTGTGAAGAATAAAAGCTGAAGACATTAATCATCAGAGGTTTCTAAATCTGGTTTCTTTGCTAAAGAGGAACTGGATCATTTAGTTATTGGAATTTGTACCCTATTTGAATATTTTTGACAGTTTGATGCGGCACAAGAAACCATAGAATATTTGTGTGGCAATAGGAATGGAGTTGCATCTTAATTTATTTTAATTTGTTTTAAATAATCTGAAAATACCATTAAACCCTGCATGAGTGTTGTTAAATGACCTTTAATCAGCACTTTGTCTTGCTGAAAAAAAAGATACAAATTTCTCAAATGCAATAATTAGCATAATAGATGAGAGACACAAACTGGAGCTAAGCCGATGCTACTTTGCCTGATGTCAAGTTACTTTAGGACACGATGTCCCTCAGTGTAAATGTGTATGCATATAGTGCATCTAATCTGCTGTTCCTGGCAGGTTCTGCTCGACAGCTGAGGCTCATTTCCTGAACGCAGAGATGGTCAGATCAAACAGTGAGGTGATTCGGCTGCTGGGTGCAGAGAGAAAGCGCGTCCGGCGTGCTACAGTTTGAGAATGAGCCTTAACGCTCCTCAGTAGCCTGTCATAGCACTGTACAGTTAAACTGCTCATCCACACTGATCACAGATCCACCGCGCTGCCGTGCAGAAGGCAAACAGCAGTAACTACACTTGTAGAAGAGGTTTCCTGTTGAGATGCTGCTAAATGACAAAATGTCCACCTACCACACAACTTCCAGGAGAGAACGGCAGCTCCCTGGATAGTTGCTGCTCTTTGACCCGAAAGGTCACCATGAACTCAGCATGTTCCACCATGACTCGGCATGTCTCTCTGGCTTGCACTGATGATTCACCATGAGTAATACATGGGAAGCATCTCCATAATCTAAAAACACCATCACCTGTCTTCCTCTGGTGCTTAAATACTAAAGTGTACCAACTGGGCTGTAGCTCAAAGAGAAGCTGCAAATTTCAGAATAAGGCGATCCACCCTCTGTTATTCCCTCACTCACGTCTACCTGCAGGGTCTGTATGGATGATAATCCTTCACAATGGGACGCTGTAGAGACTTGTAATAAATGATTTACATTTTCTTTATTATGAACAAATCCCATGGATATAACTTTGAATACAACCAGCCTTATCCTTTAATCTTGCAAATACTAATAATGTACATTTAATGTGATACAGCCTGTATGATAATAAGTCAAGAGTGTACAGTAACTTAAGTCAATGGTTGACTGTGTGTCATGACTCAGGATCAGTTGGATGATATGTCATGAGTCTGTTGAAATATTGTTACTGTTACTCTTTTGGTTTAATGTGGAAAAATGAATTTCAAACCTGATCGGTGTTGGTCATGCTTTTATTGCATTTTTGGTATTTCTCTTCATTATAGGCTTGTTTACATTAAGTCTCACTACATTAAAAGAAGTGTCATACCTAAAGGGACACTCCAGTGATTTTAATATTGTATTTAAATAAAGTTGGGAGTCTTGCACAGAGAGAATAAAAAGGAGCCTGAGACAATCTGCTAAAACACTCCTTTGTACGGCCTGAATACAAAGGAGTGTAGAAGTCATCAGGGTTATTTCCTTTTCTTTTCAGCAGGCAGAAATAAAACTTTGCTTTATGTGTAAAATCAGTGGAGTCTCCCGTAAAATATTAATTGATAGGTCTCTACAGTTGTCAGCCATATTGGAAAATATGAGTGTTCACCCAACTATATTAAAGAGTGTCATCTCTGTTTGAAATCAGGACCTTACGTTCAGATTTTGTAATGCTTTCACTCAAAACCCTGCGCTCTCACTCAAATAGCCCCTGCATGTGCTTAGATTTCCCGAATAGGCAGTTACTTAAACTGGTTCATGCACTCCTGCTCAGGGCTCTTTAAGAAGTGAAGCTAATGCACCTGCAACGAGGGCGGGACAGTTCAATTTGTCAACACTTCACCTGGCCTGTTGCACAAACTATAATATAATATAAGAGCTGAAGCTGGAGCACAGGAAATCTGTCCGAGCAACAAAATATCTGAGGGCAAGAACGCAGTTTGAACACAAGCAGGGCAAATTTGAGTGCAAGTGCAAGGTTGAGTGAAAGCATTACAAAATCGGAACTTTTAGCCCTTCTCCCAAACTGAAGACCACACTGAATAAAGAGAGGAAAACCCCATAGAAAAGTATCATTACTGTCCAAACACTGGGTGTGTTGGGGTCACTCGACTAAAAATAAACGTGTGTTGCTTTCTCAGGAGGATGAGACTTTAAAACCAAGATGGTGGAGACGCTTTATCGGCCAGACATGATTCTCTCTGTAGTTCAACAGAATTCTGTCTGCTCGGGTCTCTCCATTTCTATCTGTTATGCGAAGTGATGCAAACCCCTGAGAAAAAACCCACAGTCTCATTTGACACAACTGTTTTAATGCAAACTGTCTCCAGATCCGTTTTTCTCTCACGGGAAGTTTCCAGGAAGCTAACTTGCAACTGGTGAATCTGAATCTCCAGGGTACACGTTGTATAAATTGCAATTAACTAGAATGTTCATATTAGATTATAAGATAATATTAAGGGCAATGGATATGATATTGTATCTTTATTGAGGGTTACAAATAAAGTTCCCATGGAAAAGATTAAAAAAACTGAATTGTGTGCTTCTTGTGACATGAATAAAAAAACTGCGGAAATTATTTTGCTGTGATAAGTTTATTGCTTTTCTTTCTGTAGTATACAGAGATGCAGGCAAATACTGTTTTTTACAATAGTAAAGCAAATCAGTGGCCAAGCAACATGGAAGCTTCTGTCAGATGTGTTTTTTTTATTATTTTCTTAATAAGGGAAACTTATTGTGAAATGAACCCAGATAAAATTTACAAAAAATAGGCCAGTGGATATTCTTACAACAGAGAAGAGAAAGTAAAGAGTATCAGCTTTGTCTTATATTCAAGGTGGGCATTAATAAGCCTACATGTAACCATAGAACCAATTTCATAAGTGCAACACTTAATAAGTAACAGAAACAAAGCAATAATTGGTCAAAACTGAACACAAAGTGAGACAGATGTTTGCAGAGGACAAAACTAAATGCAAGAAATGTATTGGCCAGTGCACTTGAATCGTGACATTTTGAGAAATGATCACGTTTCTTTGCAGAGATTAGATGAGAAGACTGATGCCAGGCTCATAGCAGGTCCTGTAAATATGGAGCTACAGCTAGAAGACGGTCAGTTTAGTTTAGCATACAGACTGGAATAAGGGAGAAACAGCAAATCAGGCTCTCGTTTGCAACCAAATCCAATAATATGTACCTCCACTAAAATTAATTCAAAGATGCTGGAGGTGGATAAGATAAAAATGACCTAATCTTGTGAAAAGGATTATTATGGCATCTGACAGCGGATGAAGATCATTAAAGGTTCAGTGTGTAGAATTTGGTGATATCTAGTGGTGAAGTTGCATGTTGCAGCTGAACACCCGTCACCTCCCCCTCCTCCTCCAAACATGAAAAATAAACTGTGGCAGCTTCACTTGTCATAAAGACACAAAAGGTTTTTTAGTTTGTCCAGTTTGGACTACTGTAAAAAAAAACATGGCAGCCTCCGTAGAGAGGACCCGCTCCAGATGTAAAAATTAAGTATTTAAATATAAAGGTCTCATTCTTGGGTAAAGAAAACTACAATTTGTACAATTTAGATGAAGCACAGGTGAAAACATTACTAGGATTAATTTATATTCAGTTTCTGCCAATAGATCCCCTTCACCTAAATCTTACACACTGAACCTTTAAGTAAGATGAACGGCAGATATTGTTACTTTTGGAAAGAGCCAAGTTACTCCCCTGTTTCCAGTCTTTGTGGAAGCTAAGCTAACAGGCTGCTAGCTTTAGACTTATTTTTAGCAGACATGACAGTGGTATCAATAATCTCATCTAATCTAATAATAAAACTATTCCTTCAAGCTTTAACATGTCTGAAAGACTGAACACTTACTGACCGAAACATAACTTTAAAGGGTGGTTTGACTGACTAATGTGTGTCTAGGCTGGCCCCTGGTACATGTTCGTGCTGTGTTTATATGCAGTATTCACAGTCAAGGTCTGAATATATTACATTTTCCTATTCACAAGTGCTAATAATGGGCATTTCCACTTTACATGATTCTTTAAGGAAAAGTGTTTTTAAGAAAGCATGGCTTTTCAAAGTGGTTCCTTCACTTTGCATCACATTTTTAAGAGATTTACGAAGAAATGTCCGCAGTCGGAGTGGTAGCACTGGAGTTTTCCGGTAAATACTAAAGAGCCCCAATCTATTAGAAAGGAATGACAGTATAAATACAGGTTAAAGTATAAATATAAAAACACAAAATAAATAAATGTGATTGGTCTGGGGATGGAAAGGGTGAATTTGTTTAAGGACAAAAATAAAAGTACTTTAAAATAGAGATGAAGTTGTATTTTCGTTAACATTCGTCAGATTTTGCAGCTAAAATAAAACTGACTTTTTTGTTGGAGCTTTCTTTAACAATATCAGTCAATAGCTGTCATGGCATTAAAAAATTGTAAAGGGGGAAATTGGTATAAAAGTGGTAGTAATAAAAAGCTGTTGGAAATAAGGCACAGTTTGTCTGCCGATTCTAGCGATAAGACCAAAGTTTTTCAAAGACATGAATTTCTCTTCATAATGTTGTCCCTGTGGATAAATAGGCCAAATAGTGAAAAGAAACGTATAAAAATAGGACCTTCAAAGGAATCACAAACACTTCTACACACATTCTATGTTCAAGCAAATTGTGACAAATGTGTATTAAGCTAGAGGTGCACAGTGAGATTTTTTTTGTCATATTTACATCATATAAGGAATTGATTACATAATACACTTGATTTGTGGCTTGTGACTTTTTTCCACACCACTGACAAAATATGCAGATGTCAACTTGTCTCTGTCACTACAGATAGTTATGATATTTACAAAATGGCCGTACGAAGCAACCCAATTCACCTTGTAATTCCTTTCATTTTTCCAGTAATACAAACATAGACTCAGAAAGTATACAATGATTGTCTTCAAGTCTAGGTGGCGTTAACACTGATATTGCATAAAGTTTTGGTTTAAAGCACTGTAATCACGTCCTTCCATTATCTAGAAAAATCCTTCATGTGTCCACTGAGATACTTATTTGGCAGTTGTGCACATCGCCGTCCAAAAAGACATCGATTGTGTCAAAAAGCATCTTGTCTTTGGATTCTGGGTCTGATGACTACAGAAGAACCTCATTTCAATGAAGTGGAGGAAATAAGCCAAAATGTAATCTGTTCAATCTGACTCAGCCAACAATGTTTGAATGAAGGCTAACGGTCAACGTTTAATAATGTGACATCGTACTGTGGTATAACAAGAAACACATTCAGGCACTTGCTGAATTCAGTTGTTCTTTGGTATGGTCAGAGCTGATCCATACAGATACCCTTAAGCTGGTGTTTTGTGTGTGATGACTGAAAGCTAGTTTGTGGTTAGTCAGCACTTGTGATGTTGTGATGTTTCACCAGTGCTCCAGGTGAAGGTCCATGGCAGAGTTCAAGTTCATGTCTGTGACATCCAGGAACTCTGTGTTAAAGATGCTGGGGCCACTGGGTGGGGGAACGCTGAAGGCCGTGGCTGAGCTGGGTGGCATCAGGTCCAGCCACTCCATCGTTTCCCACGGCGTCTCGCTGAACGTCATGCTGACCATCCCCTGTACCTCAGGGAAGGTGGACGCCTTGCTGCTGATGGGTGACAGAGGGGTGTCCATCTGATCTCTGCTGGCCACGAGTTTGTCCTGTGGGGGATGGTGAGGGTGGCGGTGGTGGTTGTGGGGGCTGCCGTACCCATCGCCCTCTCTGTTCCCTTCATCATCAACCCCGTCCTCGGTAGCCATTTTAAGAAGGGCCACTTCCCCTCCCCGGCCGATTGGACTCCCAAGCAGAGACTCCAAGTGGCTCTCTGTGATGTGATTGCCCGAGTGGTCGTAGGGGGGCTGTGCGGGGTACAGGTGCTCATAGTGACGGTGGAACCTTGGGATGAGGAGACCGGGATACCCTGGGGACACAGTAATGTGAGGCACAACTTTGGTTACAGAGGACCTCTCCCTCTCTTCTCTGGCGTTAGCTGGCATCTCTTTAAGAGAAAGAGGAGAGGAGGGAGGGTCACAGCAGGTACTGGGATCTGAGGGCGGGTAACTCGTGTAAGGCTTGGTGATTTACATTATGGATTTACAGCAACATGCATTCATGGTCCCAGCTACAGTTTAATTCCTGGTGACTATTGTTGAATTTCAACTTACCTCCACTCTCTATGAGTACATCCAAAAGTTCGTCCATCTGTTGACTTCTGGTCAGTTGCTGTAAAAAAAAAATCAATGATTACAATACTTAAATTATTGAAATTGAATTCAGTTATATTAAAGGATTTTACATGAATATATGCAAGCTTTCAAGCAGTTTACTCAGAATTTCAGAATTGAGAGTCTGAGTGATTTTTAGTTTTTCTAGCCTTAGGCCAAAACATGAGTTTGTATGGACCCTGGCAAATGGCTGCAAAACTGTATTATCATTATTATTGTATTATTATAGCAAGCTTGGTTATTTTCCATTGCCAGATGCTATGCTCTCGGGTTAAGCTAGCTTGCTGTGTCTGCAACATCATCAGTGTCATGGTCAAAAAAAAGGAGCTTTCAAACAATCTTTCTCTGTATTTTGACAGAAAGATGTTGCTCTTCACCTTGTCCCTTGTGAGACAAATACCATCATCAATTGGTCAGTTCTCAATTTGAGAGTAAAAGAAGAGTATTAGTGCCATATTGCAGAAAAATAGGTTTCAAGAATTAATTGCATGCATACCACAACTGCAGCTGAAACTATGAGGTCTGACTGTCTGCATCGACGGTAAAAACATTATGGATCACAGTACGACAATGCGGTAGCGTTTGCAGACCGCCACAGTCTAGTTAATTAATTGGAAACATATTACAACTTTATTCTTGTATTATTATGACTTTAATATTATTGACTTTAATAAAGTCTGTCTGTCTCTCTGGAGTTTCACTCCTTCTGGGAATCTTGAATCAACCTTATTGTTTTTGAGAAATTACAAAACTAAAAATAAATGGATGAGATATAATTTTGCAGACGACCACTACCAAACATGTATTTATTCAATGCAAGTATTTCAACTAATTAAAGTTTCTTTTTAATTATACAATCAAAACACCAGTGTGCTTCAGACATGATAAAGGGTGAAAAGTTAGTGCGGTAAACAAAGCAAATGGATGAATGAAAGAGGTGCAAGTGAGGTAATGGACTTTAAGAGACAGAAAAGAAGAAGAAAGGAGGAAAAGTGGAATTACAGCAACGCCGATAGATCAAATCCAAACTCTGGCCAGCCATTATCTACTGAATTTGATCATGGATTTGAGTTTACCTGCTTCACTGCATCCTCATAGCATGGGGGCTGTCTTAAGTCAGATGCATCTGAATCTGAGCTACTGAAGGCAGGGGAAGAGACCTGGCTTTTTTGGCCAACATGCCGAGGAGAGGGCAATACTGAAATCTATATGAGAAATAGGTAAAAAGTGACATTAGCCCTCCAATTAGAAATGGGGAGCCGTCATGTTCGAATAATAATCCCATCATATTAAACATTTAACTGTAGGAAATGGGTTTGGCGTTGTGTTCTTGTAAAGGAGTCACTGATGTGAAGGAATATGTAATGAAAACAGATGAACTCTTAGAGTGGAGATATGACAAGAGTGACAATGAACCTCACAACAAAGGACAATTATATAGAGTCAGACAGATCACAAACTAATGGAAAGGAGAAAAACGGTTACGTGAATGTGAGGTGATTCAGACCAAGTATCAACGTGGCAACATTGCAGGTGCACTTTGACGTGGACATGAACGTTTACCTTTGGTTGCATGTTCTGGTTGTCAGCTTTGGCTGAGCTGCTGTGGTTAAGGCCACAGTCGGTTGAGGGGGGAAAGTCTCCCTGAAGACCTCTTTGGTCAGAAGTATAGGAGCAGTTCACCGCCTGGCCACCACTCTTCTGGTGGATCTGTCATTCGCAAATAATGGAATGTGACAACAGATAGCATTGACATGCAGGCAACATTAGAGATATACTGTAGTTATAGATATTTTCATTGTGCACACCTTTTTTTTGTTAGTTAGTTGGAAAATTACACAAAAACTATTCAACCAATTTACATCTTGTAGAGGGGTGGATCTGGATTAGGGTGTGGAAACAGGAGTTGTTTTTTCCCCACTTTCTTTTATTTTGCAGGGTAGGGCATTTAAAAAAAAATCAGACATGCTTTGGAGACTGATATTTATGAGTGTGTGCAATTTGATCATTCTAGTTAGAAAAGGGAATGCTGATCAAACATTAAGGGCATATGTAGCCATGTTCACGGCATGTATTTCTTATTTCTAACCATTTTTAATTTGTTTATTTCTCTCTATCTGTGTCTGTATGTAGCTGGGTTTTATTTCATCTAAAGCTGGGTTGAGTCAATATTTTTCTTCTCACATTTATTTAAAAGTTTTTGAGGTAAATAAAAATTGTATATGTGGGAATATTCACAACTAAGTGGCATGTTTGTGTGAGACACACTGCCGCTCCACCTTATTACATTTTTATTATTTCAGATGACTTGGCTTACAGTTAAAATGGTGATTCGTACCTGCATGTTGCGTGCTCTGTTGTTGCCTGGGGGATGGTGGTGACCACAGCTGTCCCTTCCCAGCGGAGGTGAGAGCAGGTACGGGTTATTAGGAGACGAGGGTTGCGGACTACTGGAAGACTTTACATTGGGACAATCTTGCGGTGAGCATTGTGGACTGAGGAAAGCGGACATGGTGGAGGGGCTGCCCGAGGCAGGGGCCGTGTCCATACACTGTGGCCCCCCGGGGGCCCCCAGGTTTGTGACGGAGGTGTTACAGTGCCCCATCTCCTCCATGCAGTTGCCAGGAGGGCTCTTGAGCTGTTTGGGAGAGGACAGAGGGCAGCTGGAGGACAGGGATAGCGGCTCCTGCTTTACAGTAACCCCAAAGAAGTGCTGTCCCATCATGGCAGGAGTCTGCTGGTGGTGCACGGCGGGGTGAGGTGGAGGAGGGACACTGTCCTGCGTTGCTCCGTAGCAGCGTTTCCGCTTGTGGAGCTGCATTTTCAGCTCTTCAACCTAACCAGCATGGTCACAGAGGTAAACGTGTCAATGTTTTGTGTGAAATGATCCTGTAATATCACAACAGCTAGTAAGATTTCTGTCTGAATAATAAAATGTTATATAATATGTTATAATTTGATTTCATTGTTGCACAGTGTATGCTGTTATTAGTTATTGTAGCTATTTTCAATTCCCAAGGACTTGTATCTATCCGCCTGCATGTGTGCTTTCTCAGTTCACGTGAGCTCTAATTCTAGTTTTGACCAGCTCATGACTTGCACAGGGAACATATGCTTTCTGAATGTTCTCCCGGTGCAGCTTAGGTTACTGTCACCGCTGACACTAAGTGGGACTCAGCCATCTTTGATGTTATTGGTAATACCAGTGCTTCTCCCATGACAGCTCAAAATGTCTGCTGGTGTAAGGAGCCACATGACAGAATGTGTTTTCAGTCCATCCACTGTGATAGATCAGAAGAAGGAGAGGGACTACTTTGCTTTTTGCTACAGCCACTTATACTGTGTTGTAATCTGGAATTCAATTGTTTCACTGTTAAATTGGAGGTTTCACAGAACGTCACCAAGACACACACTTCTGTTTAGTGACGTCACTGTGGCAGTCGACCATGCCACGGAGCTCTCACCACAGCAGCCACAGACAAACCACTTGGTCTTTAACATCTCTTTATTAAAGAACGTGAAAACATAAATTCACCAACTCTAAACCTAAAGCGCCAGCTATTTCAGCTGGCCCCTGGCTTTGCTGCTCAGGCTAGTTTAATGTCTCCATGTGTCTGTCTCAGTCCTACGTGTCTTCTGTGACCCTGTGCCTGTCTGTGTCTCAGTTCTGAGCGTGTCTCCTCGAGCAGCTCTGCTGCTGCTGTCTTTTGTACCAGAGGATCAATCAGCTAACAGCTCTCACCTGCACTGATTGATCCTCTGGTCCAGGTGCTCTCCCAGTCAATCAAATGTGGCTCCTAATACACTAGTCCACTATGCCACCCACCTGTCTCTGCTCCTGGTGCAGCTTCCACGTCAGCTCCTCAATCACCTTCTGCTTTTCCACCAGCATCTTATCCTTTTCAGCTTCCAGGCCGTCCATGGCTCCGCCTTCCCCCGCCCTCTGTCCCCCGCTGCCCTGGCTGCCCCCTGCCAGGCCGTCCTCCATGCTGAGCTGGGCCGGGGATGGCTGCAGAGCGAAGTGCGTTGGCGAGGACATGGGCACGTCGCTGAAGCTGTCAGGGAGCGAGCCGCTGAGGGACAGCTCAGAGGAGGCCGGAGAGATGGGCGGGGTGGAGGAGGTGCTGGGGTACGGGTAGTAGCCTCCCTGAGACAGGGCGCTGGAGGAGGACGGGGACTGGTAGGAGGACAAGGACCCGGTGGGTGTGACGGGGAAGGTCACCGTGGTGATGTCGGAGGAGCCTGAGGGCGAGGAGCCGGCGTTGCAGTCTTTGAAGGGCCGGAGTCGCTCTATGAGGGCGGTCTTGGTACCTGAGACAGGCATGCCTCGGATACGCAGGTGCTGCCTGAGCTCTGAGACCTATGAGAGCAAAAAACAGAGAGGTGGGATTAGATTGCCTGTACAGTGCAGATTGAGAAATCAATTTAATTCTTCTTGGCACCTACTTTTAGGTCATCTAGATTGGCTGGCAGGGGCCCAGGTTTGACTGGTGAGATGTTACTCTGGTTGGGATATGTGCTCTTCACTGGGGAGGAGGAGTTACTGTTGGCTGTGCTGGACGGGCCACTGGAGCTACAAGCTGATATCTGCTCACTGGATCCTCTAGAATGACACAACAGAAGTGGATTAATCATTTACAGCAACAGATTTAATGTAAGTTTAATGAGGCATGATTTGTAAATGGTTTACACATTTTACTCCCTATCATCTGGATCAGATGAGTTAAGTTAGTTATGCTGCTATAGGCCTAGACTGCTCCCATCATGCACTGAGAACTTCTCTCTCTCCCTCTCTCTGCCCTCCCATGAAACCTCATGCTCTAATGACGACCCTGCGCAGTTGAGTTGAGTAGGGACTGTTTTTTGCCACATCACTGTGACTTACTTGTGGGTCTGGGTCGGCATGTGAGGCTGGTAGCTGAAAGTCGGCTGCCTCTGCTGAGCCTGGGCCTGCGGAGTGTGTGCGTGCTGCTGCTGCGTCTGAGGATGTGTGTGAGAGTGTTTCTGCTGGCTGAGGATCTGCAGCTGCAGGAAGAGCTGCTGCTGCTGCAGGAGGCGGGCGTACGCCGAGTCCATGGGAGGAGGTGACTTCTCTGCCTTCTGGTCCGGAGGAATGTACTGGTGGTACTTGAGCTTCTTCACTTTGGGCTTCACATCTTTGGGTTTCTTGTGTCGGTTCTTGTCTGACGTCTTGGACTGTTCAGAGCGAGGAGGGGGAGACGGTGTGAGCTGATGCTCCATAGGCAAATGTTTTAAATGTGGGTAAGTCAGGGGAAGCTCAGAGGTGTTTAAGAGGTTGCTGACCTTGACAATAGCAGGAACAGGGATAGGGGGAGTAGCCACGCTGTTGTTGGCACCGGACAGTCCTTCATCCTGGCTCTGATCAGGTGGGTCTCTGGTTGCTCCCACCTGTTGACAAATAAAAACATGATATATGATTCAGCCAAGTTCCATGTGACTTAAATCCTCTCTGTTTGCATCCAGGAACACAGCAGTTCTTTCTCACAGCAGGCCATTTGAATATGCTCCCTGAGGATTAATAGATGAGATCATACAAACACACTATGAGTATTTACTCACGCTTTACATACTTTATCTGTTAATAGCTTCATTTTAAAGCTGGAGTGGGATTAATACGTGTGGATGATTATGTTTGGTTGAATTCAAGCCCTTGTCAAATGAGTTCACTCAAAGCTGATTGAGTCGATCAGAAGCAGGTAAATATCTCTATATGGTGCAGCAACAATGACAGGAGCCACTCTGCCTGTAAGATATCTACTTTTATACTTTAACTATAGTTTGCTGATAATGCTCACAATTGTTTCACTTGAATACAATTTGGAATTACTTACTTTCAGTAGTTTACCATCGTGGTATTGCCACTTTTACTCAAGTAAAGGAACTAAATGACTTTTTCCTAGACTTTCTAATGCGAGAGCCACATTTCATGACAAAGAAAAAAAAGAAAAGCTGCTGCATAAATACAGACCATTTACTACTAATAATAATACATTTAATTGATATAGTGCTCAAAGACACTTTACATAAAAAATAGACATTAAAAGCAGCTCTGAAAAGTTGGGTTTTGAGGAGTGTTTTGGAGGTGGACATAACAGTGCAGTCTGTTTTTTAAAATGTCCCATTCCACTGACAAAGGCCTCAAGCCAAATGTTGCTAAACAGACCACAGTATAATAAAAATTAATAAAAAACCTTCCAGTTCATTTCATTTGTTTGATTTCAATTAATTTAATTAATTCTGTTCATGTTGCCTTTGATTAGGGTTCACTGTTTTTTCTACGCTTGCACTGATATCTCCTTCAGTTGAAATGAGGACGTGTGGAGACTGTTTGTAAGGACACTCAGTTTGTAATCCAAATACAATCATTATCCTCAAAAATGCACATGTCTTGACGCTCCCTCTGCGAAACTCTTCCAGAGAGTTGTAAACAGACGTTACAAACTATCATGACACAGCGAGCGCAGAGGATTTCGTTGGAACCTGTCAGAGGCACAAAGTCTAATGGATGTAAACAACTCTGCTCTGGCACGAGTTTCAGTTCAGCGACCGTTGCGGGATGGTGACCGTTGGAGTGAGGTCATCGTGAGTGAAAGGAAAGCAGTCAGGGAATAAAGGCAGCTGGAATATGACACCTGCCCAGTTCAACTCTGTGCAACGGTCAGGAGGAGCACAGAGGAGGCTGGTGGAGCAGTTCACTCAGCTGCCACAGGAGGGCAGAACAACCAAAGCTGGGGGGGTTGACAAACAAGCTACTGGTAGAAAGGACAAAAGAGGCAGTTACCGTGGTGTGATTTTTTTACCTGTCGTGGGCTGGTGAGGGCAGGTGAGGACGAGGAGGAGGGCGTGCTGCCCACGGCCTCCGATGAAGGACAGGCTGAGCCCTGGGACTCGTCACTGTGGTGCTGCTCTGGAGACAGACTCTCGCTGCTGCTGTCCTCTTCGAACGCGTAAGAGTCTTCCTGCTTCGGGAACTTGCCATGGTTCACTGTGAGAGTAGCAGACAGTCATCAGTCAGCTGGGATGCATTATTGACTACATTGCACACAACTGCTTTTAAAGTCGTCTGGTGATCAGATGTGGTTCGATCCCCAGCGCCTCCTGAGTGTGTTGAAGTGTCTTTGAGCAGGACACTGAACTCTTTACTGCTCCAGATGCAGCGTCACAAGTGGTCCTTCAGATACATGCGTAAACTCATTGTAATGTAAAGGATTTTTCTGAGTTGGGTTTATTTTGGAATTCCTATAAAGTCTTGAAACACATTCCAGTACAGTTTTTGCCATTGACCCATTCACACAAACATTCACACAGTGCATCTTTGTGCAACACTTTCTCATTCACACACTGTCGTCACAGTTGTCTGGGGCACTTTGGGGTTCAGTATCTTGCCTCCACGTTACTGTAACACTTCGGCATGCAGAATGGGGGTGACAGGCATCGAACGCCGACCTTCTGGTTAGTGCACAACCCGTTCTTTTCCTGAGCCCGGGTCTTAATTTTTCCAATCACTTGTGTTTTCTCTTCCAAATAATTGCTAACATGGAGGTCTGTTTACAACCTGTTGGTCTACTTCTGTTTCTTGCTCCACTGAAAAGAAAAACTTTCAAAATGATTGCTTTCCTTTTCACGCTGTTACAGCTTCAGTTTGATTTGCTCTCTTACTGTCCAGCTGCTGCTGCCACAATCTACATCTCACAGCAATTAAGCAGCAGCAAGTAATTTCCCTGCAATTTGACTGTGGGTTTGGCTTCTAATGAAGTGCACTGGACATACTGTTTGTGGTTATGTGAAAGGGGGGGGGGGGTCTGCAGATGCAACATATGGCTGAATAAAATTGCTTCCAACTTCTCTCTATGTCTTTGATTAATACATCATCTGTTCAGCATCGGTTCAAGTTAAGACAGTAAGGATCTTGCTGCAAGGACTGAATATATCAAGTATCAGGTCTTGATCGAGAAAACTGAATGTTTAAGTATTTCATTATTTATTATGGAAGCAGAGAAACCAAGGAAGAAAGGAAAAGTTGTTTCCCATGAGATGCACATTGCAAACCGTTGCTTGTAGTGTATGATGTATGTTTCCCATGTGACCAGTGCCTGTCTGTCACTGACACCTCGTACCACACTCAGCCTGGAGGTGTTACGCTGCACAAGTGAGACACTGACACCGGCACTTTACCTCCGCCACGCTCCTGATTGGCCGGGCTGATAGCGAGCACAGCTTCGATTGGAGGAGCTAAGAGTGGCTATCTAACGGAGCTAAAGGGACAGCGCCGGGGGGAGGTGGGGGGTGGTAGACGTTGGTGTGTGTGTGTGTGTGTGTGTGTGTGTGTGTGTGTGTGTGTGTGTGTGTGCGTGCGCACTGAGGTATAAGATTCTCTTTTTGTATCCAAACATGTGACAGCCAGGAACAGACCCTGGTTTCAATCACAGCACCAGGCCCTTTCTGTACAACTCACTGACCCCACAATACACACAAACACACATGCACACACACACACATGCACGCGCACACACACACACTAACAGAGGTTAACACAGTATTGTCCTAAATGCATTTCCTCCCACCTGTTGGTATTTTAAGGCCTTCTCTCTCTGTACGCACCCCCCCCCCTTCACACACACACACACACACACACACACACACATACACACTCTCTAACTCTGCTCTGCTGCACACAGTCCAGTACACAATGTATCCGATTTGATGTCACCAGGAGATTGAGGTGGCAGAATGGCAGGAAATCATGCGCGCCGTGTACACTTCCGCTTTTCAAGTGGCTTGTTTTAGAAGTTCCAGCGGGTCACATAGTTTTCCAACACCACCGCTCAGAGGTTGAAACAGTCATGGGGAGTGTTGTGTTAGGGGATATAGAGTTCTAAGGTGAAGGGTTAATGCTGCAGGCGCGGGGAACGCAACAGCCTGGTCCTGTCACCGAGCTTTGGAGGTGGCTCTCTGCAGCCACAGACGCCTGCTGAAGCCGAGACAAACCAGGGGGGGTGGTGGGTACAAACATACACACAGGTACACCCACACACTCACACACAAGGATGCACTCGAGTTCAAGCACACATCTCCACTTCGGGCCCAAATACAGCTGCTGTTCGTCTCAATAAACGGCGCTCCCCTCCTCCTGCAGAGGTAGTGTAAACCAGCCGACTGCGGCCCGCCCGCTCCTTTACGCAACATGTTTACGGGAAGCATAAGGGGGCAAACATAAAAAAGCTCAAACACCCATCCCAGGAACACTAGCTGCGCTGCCAAGAATGCTATAGAGAGCGTGAGTAACATGATGGCGACTGGAAGACAAACAGTGAGAGGTCAGAGCGACGCAGTGGGACGACTGAAGCCCGACGCTTCGTGCTGCCCTTAATCAGAGGTGTGTCTAAGCACGCACGCTGAGCGTTTTCCTCAAATCAGACACTGGAGAAGATGGAGATGTTAAAACAGCTCCACAAACACTAAAGTCAATATTTGTATTTGTAGATACTCATACCAAAGCATTTTTTTTTAAATAAAAAAAGCCCTTTTATCGGCATAATAACAACATTTTTAGGGATCCAGACTAATGACAAGTTCTGGGAGAAGCAAAATGTAAATAACATTCTTTGCGACAGAAAAGAAAAGTTTGACAGTGAGGCCATAGAATTTAAATTGGTCTGGTCGATTATTAATATTGGTATTTATTCAATGTTGTAGAGTAGATCAGTGATAAGCTTTTGGAAAAAAAGCAACAAACTTGGGTTGCCAGGTTGAGAAACATCCCCAGTTAAAGGTAGGGTTGGTAGTAATCTATCAGGTGCAGGCTGCAGGTTTATTGTTAATGAGTTCTTCATACAGCTACACAGGTTTTGCTCCTCAGGTGGTTCAGCAACTTAAGGGGCACCCTGGAAACCCCTAAGCTGTTCTTATTAATGTCATATGACAGATTAAGTTAATTGTTTAACTGATACTGAAGCTACATACAACCTCTAAACACTTTATAAAGGGTGAACATACAAAAATAATACACAAGCTGGACGAAATGACCACAAATGTTTTTGTGGGGGAGCAAAAGGATTTTCATAAAAGTTTTTTTTTGTTGTTGTTTTATTTGTTAGTTAGCAGGGTAAGGCAAAAAACTACAGATTTCCGTGAAACTTGGTGGAAGGATGGGACAAGAAAGAACACCGTTAATTTTGGCAGAGGTCTGGACAAAGAAGTGGATTCAGGGATTTTGTTTGTCACTCTCTTTGACATTGCAAGATTGGTGTTTTTTGACATTTTCACCAATTTCTCAGGAAGTAATCAAGAGATCTTCATGAAAAAAAAAAATCAGTGCATGCAATTTTGTGCAGATCCAACTAAAAATGAGGATCTCTTGGATTTCAATGTGGTTTCATCAAGGGACTGTAGAGCCTTGGTGGGGGTTTGCACTTTATGAGTGTCATTCTAGTTTGAAAAAGTGAGATCCAGCAGTGCAGTCATTAGAGGGCAGTCTCGTTTGCTTGGAGTACAAACTCCAGCACAGTTGTTTCTACTCATTAGCATGTGAGATGAACAATGGTTTGTTAATAAACACACACACACAAGTTAGAACAAACTCTACAGCTAAAGTGGACAACCAGGAGCACACACGTGGAGTGTCTCAGTTGCAGCAGGTGTTAGCGGTGTGTTACACTGCACAGCAACGTCTCTCTCTCTGCTGATACCTGTCATTGTGTCGGCAGAATCTAGGGGAATGATATTCTTTTGGACCAGCTCCAGGGGCCCCGGCCTGAGAGCCAGCTTCTCGTTCAGGTCCTGGGCGAGCCGGACTCGCTTAAGCCTCAGCTGGGCCTCCACAGAGGAGCTGTCTGAGGCCGGGTCTGCACAACACACAGCGGGACCACACCATCACCGACATGACACACACCGGGGGAACACTGCTCACACGAGGCTGAGCATACTGCAGTGGTGAATGGTGCAGTTTTACTTAAGAGACTAAAGTTTTTTATATTTATATTAAGTGCATTATAAAACTATAAATGGAGAATATGTATTTTGTAGTAGTATTTTCACAATTAAATATAGAAATAAGAAATTGTTTATTTTACTTTCTCCATCACTGATGAATATAACGTTTATTGTAGTATACTGTAGCTTAGATCCTGTAGCTTAGATCCTGTATCTTAAATGCATTTTCATACTTCATACATTGATATCTTTAGCTGATATTAATATCATCTTGTTGATTAATCCTTGTTTAGTATATCTTTCCATACAATGATATGTAAGTATATACATATATCTATATATCTAACCCATCTGTTGAGGGCGTGTTTTTCTCCATCTGAGCCAAAGCCTGAATTTAAAGATGGATGAGACGTTTCCAAACTTCCAAAGTTAAAATACCCGGATACAAACTGCGGCATCTTGCACATTTAGAGCCAGAGTGCAATGAAGTATAGTGGAATGAAGCTGTGGTTTCATCAACACACACACTCGAGTTACTCTCTTACCTCTCTTACTAACTAAAAACAAGCAAACTGGAAGAATTAACACCCGAAATAACAGAATCCATCTTTGAGAAAAATGTATTGGAAATGTATTTTTGCGGGATTTATGATCTATGCCGCAGGCTGCCATCAGGTGGCGATTGAGATAGCAGTCCTGTCGTCCATCTTTATATACACTCTGTGGTCTGATCTATTTTTTTTCTTTCCTTCATTTACAGACTTTAAACCTGCTCCTTCCAGCTGTCGAAAAAAAAGGAAAACATTTACACATCTTCCTTCAGCCCTCAATCATCAATATTTCTGTTTTGGATCAGTTGTAATATCTGTGCAGACGCTCCACTACTAGTACAGTCAGAAACTTTGAGTTCTGGAAAAATAAATGGAGTGGCTGTAATTAAAGCGCTGCAGCAGGTGAGATTTTCAACCTTTAACAATCTCCCTCTGTTAAATCCAGAATAAATAATCAGAGCTGGAGCGAGTCGGGTCTGGCCTGCAGTCTATATCTGCAGCG